CGGCAACGAGAGGCGACGGTCCGGACGGCGGCTGAAGGTGGCGGGCACGAGGCGGCGAAGAAGGAGTGGTTCGATGAGGGTGAGAAACGATGGCGAGGACGGCGGCGACAGTGACGCTCCAGTGGCCGGTTCGGCTTCTCGGCGAAGGACGGCTCCGGCGTTCCTTGGCCGGGAGGGAGAGAGAGCGAGAGAGATGACTGATCGGACGGGAGGGCGATGAGGACCACGGCACAGCTGAGCAGCGGCATGACGGCGTCCCTGTGGCTAGCAGCTCCGGCATGCACGGCGGACTCACGGCCGAGAGGAAGAGAGCGCCGGCGGAGGGGGAGGACGATCGTGGGAGGCTGGCTGGGAGAGGAGAGAGAAGGTGGAGGGTAAATGTGAGGAGAGAGAAAGTCAAATGGGTCAAATATAGTGGCTAGTGGATGCCAAGTGTCACTAATCTAGGCCCTTTGACCAAAATACCCATAATCTAATGGTTCTAATATAATCTTATCCAATAATTGAGGGGCAAGATGGTCTTTAGCCCTAATAATTGAGCTAAAATACAATTTCAATTAATCCAAAATAATTCCTAAAATTCGGAGCTGAAAAATAGGCTAGGGGCAAAATGGTCATTTTTCCGGTCCCGGGTCGAAATTCCATTTTTCGACCGTACCAACCCCAAATGTGTGTGGCCAACATAATATGATGTCAGATTCTCAAGAATAGCCTTTTAAGCCTTTGAAAATCGGCATCGAAATCCGGGCCAATTACGCGATCAAAACCTGCTCAATTTCAAATTTCAGTGTCTCTCACTAATGAGCGGCTTTTTAGGGGTTACGCATATCGACTAAGGTTATCCGAGTCGTCATGGCCTCGATTCTCGGGAAAACGAGAGGAATTATCGCTAGTTCCTGAGGTTACGATCGCTCGGTTCAAGTTCAGGATCGGTTGGCCTCGCGTACTTTCGGTCGCACAAAATCACCTGCTATCCGATCGTACGTCGTTGGCCTTGGCCAAACCATATCCATCACCTTCCTACGATCGGCCTACATTGGCCTAAAACGTTCCCTCATCGTTTCTCAACATTCGTGCCAGGTTGACGATCGGGTCCCCGGTCCACGTACCGTTTTCCTAGTTAGCTATACCCCATTGGTTAGTATCCCAAGAGTGATCAGCTCTGGGCGAGACTTGCTAAAATGAAATGAGAAATAATACTCGTTTTATTGATTCCGGAATTGAGTCGAAATTCGGGCTGTTACAACTCTTCCCCCCTTACAAAAATTTCGTCCTCGAAATTTGCAATCTATCCTTATCTACTCAAATAACTGGGGGTACCGACGTCTCATGGCGTCTTCACTTTCCCACGTGGTACCTTCAGTTCCATGATGCTCCCAGACGACCTTGACCATTGGGATCGTCTTATTCCTTAGCACACGATCATTCCTATCTTCGATCCTGACTGGTCTTTCCACGTACGACACTTTGTCGTCCACGTCTATATTCTCGTACTTCAGAACGTGGGTCGGATCTGGTTCATATTTTCTCAACATCGACACGTGGAATACGTTGTGCACTTGGGACAAATTGGGTGGCAAGGCAAGTCGGTAAGCCATATCACCAATCTTTTCTAAAATCTCAAAGGGGCCGACGTACCTTGGACTGAGCTTTCCTTTCTTACCGAATCGGGACAATCCTTTCATAGGCGACACCCTGAGAAATACATGATCTCCAACTTGAAACTCCAAGGGTCGTCGTCTCCGATCGGTGAACTTTTCTGGCGGCTTTGCGCGGTCTTAAGTCTTTCCCTGATAATCTCAACTGCCTCGACCGACTGCTGCACTAATTCAGGACCTGTAATACTTCGCTCACCTACTTCGTCCCAACACAAAGGCGTCCTACACGCTCTACCATACAAGGCTTCAAACGGTGCCATCTGGATACTTTGCTGGTAGCTGTTATTGTAGGCAAATTCCACTAAAGGCAGCTGTTCTTCCCATTTGCCTTGAAAGTCCAGTACACAAGCTCTCAACATGTCCTCTAGGGTCTGAATTGTCCTTTCAGACTGGCCATCTATCTGCGGATGATAGGCCGTACTGAATTGCAACTTGGTTCCTAAGGCCGATTGCAAACTTTTCCAAAAATTGGCCGTAAACCTTGGATCTCAGTCCGACGTGATCGATACTGGTACCCCATGCAATCTAACGATCTGTCGAATATACAGTTCCGCGTACCTTTCCAATTCGAAATCCTTTCGCACCGCCAGAAAGTGCGCTGACTTAGTCAGTCGATCCACTATCACCCATATCGAATCATGTCCTCTCTGGGCTTCGTGGCAATCCCGTTACAAAATCCATCGTGATGTGTTCCCATTTCCATTCAGGGATTTCTAATGGTCTTAACAGCCCTCCAGGCTTACGGTGTTGGGCCTTCACTTATTGGCACGTCAAGCACTTAGCTACCTGCTTGGCCACATCTTTCTTCAGTCCATTCCACCAATAATGCTGCCGCAAATTCTGGTACATCTTTGTACTACCTGGATGGATACTGTAATTACCGCGATGTGCCTCTCTTAAAATTTCCTCCTTGAGCTCCAAGTCATCAGGCACACGCAATCGTCCTTGGAACTTCAAAATTCCATCCTCACTCACTTGAAATTCCGGTTTCCTTGAGGCGGCGTCCATTCCAATAATCTTTTTGATCTCTGGGTCCATAGACTGGAGTGCCTTAATCCTTGCCCGGATTTCCGGTTCGATTCTCAATGCGACCATCAGACTAGATATCTGGCTCACCTCAAATTTAAACTCTGAGTCTCTAAGCCTTTCCAGCAAAGTCCACTCTTTGACCAACATTTGCGCCATACTTGACTTACGACTTAGCGCATCCGCTACTCTATTCGCTTTTCCCGGGTGGTACATGATGTCGCAATCATAGTCCTTTAGAAGTTCCATCCATCGACGCTGCCTCATATTCAATTCCTTCTGTGAAAACAAGTACTTGAGACTATGATGATCCGTATAAATCTGGAACCTTTCTCCACATAAATAATGCCTCCAGATCTTAAGGGCAAAGACAATCGCTGCCAACTCTAAATCATGCGTCGGATAGTTCCTTTCATGCGGTCTCAACTGACGCAACGCGTAGGCAACTACCTTCCCGTGTTGCATCAGGACGCAACCAAGTCTCCTTAACGAAGCATCACTATAAACCTCAAATCCACCTGGCCCAGATGGAATGGTCAATACTGGGGTCGTTGTAAGCCTATGCTTCAACTCCTGAAAACTTTTCTCGCACTTATCATTCCATTCAAACTTAGATTCCTTCTTCAACAATCGCGTCAGTGGCATGGCTATCAAGGAGAACCCTTCTACAAAACGCCGATAATAGCCAGCCAATCCTAAGAAACTCCGAATCTCGGTTACGGAGGTCGGCCTTGGCCACTTCATTACTACCTCGATCTTAGCTGGGTCTACAGAAATCCCTTCTCCCGAAACTATATGCCCAAGAAATGCTACTCTACTTAACCAAAAATCACACTTACTAAACTTGGCGAAGAGTGCGTGTTCTCTCAAAGTCCGTAGAACCTCAGTCAAATGTACCTCATGCTCCTCCGGGCTTTTCGAATACACCAAAATATCGTCGATGAACACTATGACAAATCTGTCCAGAAATTCCTTGAACACTCTGTTCATTAGGTCCATGAAGGCGGCGGGGGCATTGGTCAATCCGAAGGGCATCACTGTAAACTCGTAGTGCCCATACCGCGTTCTGAAAGGGGTCTTAGGTATATCCTCCTTCCGAATCCTTAACTGATGGTATCCAATCCGCAAATCAATCTTAGAAAACACAAATGCTCCTTGCAGCTGATCAAATAGATCATCGATCCTAGGGAGTGGATACTTATTCTTAATTGTCACCTGATTCAACTACCGGTAATCAATACACAACCTCAATGTCCCATCCTTCTTCCTCACAAACAAGACTGGTGCTCCCCATGGAGATACACTAGGACGAATAAAACCTTTATCTAATAATTCTTGTATCTGGACCTTTAGTTCCTTCAATTCGGACAACGACATCCGATACAGTGCCTTTGAAATCGACTCAGTCCCAGGGGCCAATTCTATCACAAATTCCACTTCTCGCTCAGGCGGTAAACCAGGCAATTCCTCAGGAAAGACCTCGGGGAAATTACATACTACGGGTATCTCTTCCAACTTAGGTTCCGTCATTGTTTGATCCACAACATTCACCAAATATCCTTCACAACCTTCGTCTAGCAACTTTGTTACTTCGAGCGAGGAAATCCAAGGAATCGAGGTTCCTCCTCGGTTTCCTTGAAATTCAAACCTTGGACGTCCAATCGGATTAAATTGAATCGTCCTACTGCCGCAATCCATGATGGCCTTCTGGCTCACTAGCCAGTCCATCCCAATTATCACATCAAAATCGAACATGGCTAACACTGCCAAGTCGATACTTTCTTCCCTACCCCTAATCACAATCTTACAATTGGGACATCCAAAAGAGACTAACATTTTATCATTCATAGGTGTCGACACATTAAGCATAGTCTCAAGCAACGCCGGTTCCAACCCAACTAACTTAACAAATTGCTCCGAAACAAAAGAGTGGGTCGCCCCCGGATCAAACAACGCATAAGCAGCATGATTGCAGAGAGAAATGGTACCTGTGACCACGTCCGGCGCATTCTCAGCTTCTCTGCGCGTCATGGCATAAACTCTTCCCTACGTCGACGGTCGTCCTTAATTGGCCGGTGGGGGAGGTCCGGCTTGATTTCCAACTTGGGAAGGCGGCAACCTGGGCGGTCCTGAGGGATGCTGCTGTGAGCAACTCCGAATCTGGTGCTCTAGACTCCCACACCTGAAACATGGCCCAAATCTACTCGGCTGGGGGCTTGGCTTTCCTATATTCCGTCTAACGGGTGGAATAAACTGCCTGTTTCCTGCCATAGGCCTTTTTCCCATACGGCGGTTATCTCTGCTCTGGGCAAACCGCTATCCAGAAGCAGCTGCTCTTTCTTGTTGGTCCCGCTCTATAATCTGAGCCCGCCTATACATTTCTCCATAATCCTTAATGTCGTGCGATAATATCTGACTCCGAAGATCCGGCCTCAATCCGTCCCGGAATCTTCTAGCCCTATCTCGTGGGCTTTCTACCATTGTCGGGGCAAACTTTGCCAATCTCGCAAATTCTGCTTCATATTGGTCAACGGTCATCTGACCTTGGCGTAATCGCATAAATTCCATTAACTTCTTTTCCTGGGCGTTCTCCGAGAAATACTTCTCATAAAAACTTTCGACAAACACTGCCCAGTTCAATTCTGCACCTACCGGGAATACCCTACCCTTGGTGGCTTTCCACCAATCATTCGCACTACTCTGCAACTGATATGCCGCCAACGTCACTTTCTCTGCATCGGTGCACCCCAACACCTCAAATGCCTTCTCTAATTCCTCTATCCAATCTGGGGCAGCCTCGGGGTCACCCTTGCCATTAAATTTTGGCGGCTTCATCTTCAAGAATTGCTCTACCAACTGGGGCATCTGCCTGGCTACTGCGGGTTGGGCCTGCCCTTGCTGGGCCTGATTACCTTCATTACCACCTATTGGTGCAGCCTCAGCAGCCTGCGCATAAGCGGCGGCCCTTTCCTGCTCTTGCATGGCCATTATGTGTCCTATTTCCCGCAGAGTATCCATCACATCGTCAAGCCTTGGGTCTCTAGCCTCACGGACTCCCTCACTAGACTGACCTTGGGGCTCTTTTCCTCTTCTCCTACTCATCCTTACGAACTCGGCTACTCAACTACCTGCTATAATTTCACTAAGGAATTAAAGACTTAACCAATCTAATCCAGTCTAAGTCTTAGGCAGGTATCTAGCACAACAAGCTAGCACTCAGCATGCGTTCCAACACAACTGACACAAACTTCACCCATGGAGATTAGCACACTTACCTCGGGTCCTGCCGCACCTGCATTATTACGGTCACACAATCAATCACTCAAAGCACAAATTGTCAGAAGATGTACTTAGCACACGTGGTCACCCTAGGGACTACCCATGGTCTCATCGCTCCTTATCACTCCAGATTTCGACAGAAATTGACCGAGCTAACCTTGCTCTGATATCAAATAAAAAGGGGATGTCACACCCCGTACCCCACGAAGCGATAACATCCCACGCACAGGTCAAATTTTGTTGCAACGCTCCCAAGACGCGTCGCCGACCCAAAACCCAAACAGAGAAGATAAGGCACATGCAGAAGCAACGTATATAAATATATATACACCCGTACAATATACTCATGAGACCAAAGATAGAACAACAACCAAACTAGAATATACTTACAAATATACAGTTTCATTTCTACGAGGAAACCTTTTTACAATATCCATTTGTACAATATAAAAAAAAAACATCCAGCACAAGCAGTCAATAGCCACTCGATCAAAAAGGGGCAGGTGGCTAGGGGAGGATAGGGCGTCTACAGGGAAGGTCACAGTAAAAAAGGTACGAACTTCCCTTCTTAGAGCTAGGGCCTATACTAGGGCTCCCAGTCAGGGTCTGAAGACTCCGAAGAATCATCCGACGACTCCTCCGAAGAACTCCCAGGGGGCTCAGACTCCTCTGGCTCCATATCCTGTGCTGCAACCCACTCATCCTCTGAATCCGGCTCCAACTCCGGGTCCAAGTACAGTCCTATCTCCTTATCCGAGCCTAACTCTGCAACCTCCCCATCCTCATCTAAATCCATGGCCTCCGATTCATCCTCTTCGTCCGCGAACTGATCTGGGTCCTCGACTATCACTTGCGGCTCCTCACCCTCATTTTGCAATTTATAAACCGACCCGAAGGCCCACAAATATTCCGGCCCGTAGGCTCACAACACTCCATGGCCCGCGTAACACGCATCAGGCCCAGTGTCTCTAGCCCGCATCAAAACGCATCAGGCGCAACATCGATCTCCTCACGGAACAAAACCCGCGTAAAAACATCAGGCTGGCCGTCTTCCGGACGAATCGGGCATCGTCCCGCGTAAAACGGGTCAAGACGGCATCAACCCCGCGTAAAACGCATCAGGGCTTATCATGACCACACGTGCACACAGTCAATTTTTATCTGAACCCCGTGTAAAAACTCATCAGGGCAATTAGGCGATCAAATGTTCTAATCAGGCACGTGCATTCTCAAAACTCATGATTCAAGCCCAAATCAAATATGCAATATGCGAAACCGTGCATAATGGGCACCCAATATCAATCACGAGTACACAATTCAATGTGGCTACAACATGCTCAATTCGAGTCTCAACGGTTCGTTCCAATATTCAATTGAGGCATTTAAACACGGCACGCCAATTATGTAATTGATGCACATAATTTAACACATTCCAGGCCCGATACACCACATTTTAATTAGCCACTTAAGAGCATACGACAAAACATCATCCAATCAAGCACCAATTAACCATAAAATCATGTCATTCGAATAACCAAGGCGACGATCCAATTGAATATGAACTTAGCCCATTTATTCAAATTCGGTTCTAGGGAGGGCAGCCACCAAACAGCCAACATTAGGGCATTAATCCACCTCCTAATCAGCCTATTTACTCCCAAATATTCCACATAATCAGCCACTAGTCATTGGATCTTAATTGAGCCTAATTCTAACCTAATTAACCCCTAAAACCACATAATTCTATCTAGAAACGCAGCATTAGTCCTAATTAAGGTTTAGGAGTTAATTACTCACACTAACTAGGCTCCAATCAGCACTAAATCGGTGGGCAACGAGCGGCCAATCGCCGACGTGCGGCGGAATCGGCGGCGGCGTCCCGGTGGCCTCTACGGCGGCGACGCTTGGGCGGTGGTCCAGCGGACCTTGGCTGGACCGAACGGTGGTGAGAAAGGGGAGGTGAGGCTGGTGGTCGCAAGGGAGGAGAGAGGTGAGGGCGGTGGTGGTGCAAGGTGGCGAGACGGTGGCGGCTTAGGCGAGCAGTAGCTCCGGCGGTTCTCGGCCAAGTGGAGGCTGATCCGGCGGTCTCCCAGCCCACACGAGAGAGAGAAAGAGACGGTGAGGGGGAGAGGGACGGTGGTCGGGTGGCGAGGAGCGGCAGCGGCCGAACGGCGTGCGGCGGCGCTCCGGCGATCCGGCGGTCCAAGCCGGTCGGCTTCCGCGGCGAGAGGGAGAATGGGGGCCGGCGGATGGAGAGAGAGAGAGAGGAGGGAGTGATTGGCTTGACGGACAAGAAATGGGAGTCAAAGGTCAAATATAGGGGATAATGGAATCCAAGTGTCAAAAATCCCAAGGTTTGACCAAAATGCTCTTGATCCAAGGGTTCACATTCTTTCTTATCAAATAATAGAGGGGCTCTATGGTCATTCACATGGCTGAATTATTGGGCTGATACATCATCTTAAATTAATCCCCAAAATTCGGAATACAAAAATAGGGCTTAGGGGCAAAATGGTCATTTTCCGATTTCGGGTCGAAATTCCATTTTTGAACCATACTAACCCCAACTATATGTGGCCACACTAAAATGACGTCGTCCTCGCAAAATAGTCGCACACGACCCCAAAAATCGATGTCCAAGTCCGGATAAATTTCCTCGACCAAAATTGCTCAATTTAAAATTTTAGGGTCTCTCACTAACGGGCGGCTGATTAGGGGTTACGCGTATCGACTTAGGGTTACTCGAGTCGTGACGGTCTCGATTACTGGGAGAACGCGAGAAATTATCGCTAGTTCCGGAGGTCGCGATCGTTCGGTTTAAGTTCCGGATTTGTTCGACACGCATACTCTCGGTCGTGCGGAATCACCCGCGATCCGATCATACGTCATTGGCCAAACTCAATCCGTCACCGTCCTAGGATCGGCCACGTTGGCCCAAAATATTTCCTCGTCGATTCTCGGAATCGATGCCCGAATCGCGATTGGGTCCCCGGTCCACGTACCGTTTCCTAATTAGCCATTCCCTATCGGTTAGTATCCCGAGATTGATCAAGTCCGGGCGAGACTTTCTAAAATTAAATGAGAAATAATATCTATTTCATTGATTCCGAAAATGAGTCGAAATTCAGGATGTTACAATTCTTCCCCCCTTACAAAAATTTCGTCCTCGAAATTTGCAATCTAAACTTATCTATTCGAATAACTGGGGGTGCTGACGTCGCATGGCCTCTTCACTTTCCCAGGTAGCACCTTCCGTCCCATGGTGCTCCCATACAACCTTAACCATTGGGATCGTCTTATTCCGAAGCACTCGATCCTTCCTGTCCTCAATCCTCACTGGCCTCTCCACGTACGACACCCTGTCGTCCACGTCTATTTCCTCGTACTTTAAAACGTGGGTCGAGTTTGGTTCATACTTTCTCAACATTGACACGTGAAATACGTTGTGCACTTGGGACAGGTTGGGCGGCAATGCTAGTCGGTAAGCCATATCACCAATCTTCTCCAGAATTTCAAACGGCCCGACATACCTTAGACTCAGCTTTCCTTTCTTGCCGAATCTGGATAATCCTTTCATAGGCGACACCTTGAGAAATACATGATCTCCCACTTGGAATTCCAAAGGTCGTCGTCTCCGATCGGCATAACTTTTATGGCGGCTTTGCGCAGTCCTTAACCTATCCCTGATAATCTCAACTGTCTCAATCGACTGTTGAACCAATTCTGGGCCTGTGATACTCCTTTCACTGACTTCATCCCAGCATACTGGCGTCCTGCACGCCCTGCCATACAAGGCTTCAAATGGTGCCATTTGGATGCTTTGCTGGTAGCTACTATTGTAAGCGAATTCTACCAGGTGCAGCTGTTCTTTCCATTTGCCCTGGAAGTCCAAAATACAGGCACGCAACATATCTTCTAAAGTCTGAATCGTCCTCTCAGACTGACCATCCGTCTGTGGATGATAGGTAGTACTAAACTGCAACTTTGTTCCTAAGGCCGATTGTAAACTTTTCCAAAAGTTGGCCGTAAACCTCGGATCTCGGTCCGACGTGATCGTTACTGGTACTCTATGCAATCTGACGATCTATTGAACATACAATTCTGCGTACCTTTCCAATTCAAAATCCTTTCACACCGCCAGGAAGTGCGCGGACTTCGTCAATCGATCTACTATCACCCAAATTGAATCATGTCCTCTCTGGCTTCTCGGTAGTCTGAAGACAAAATTCATCGTGATGTGCTCCCATTTCCATTCGGGGATCTCTAATGGTCGCAGCAATCCTCCAGGCTTATAGTGCTGAGCCTTCACTTGTTGGCACGTCAAGCACTTGGCCACATGCTTGGCCACGTCTTTCTTCAGCCCGCTCCACCAATAGTGTTGCCGCAAATTCTGGTACATCTTTGTACTACCTGGGTGAATACTGTAATTACTGCGGTGTACCTCACTTAAAATCTCTTCCTTAAGCTCTAAATCATCAGGCACACACAATCGCCCTCGAAACTTCAAAATTCCGTCCTCATTCACTTGGAATTCCGGTTTCCTTGCAGCAGCATCCAATCCAACAATCTTTTGTATTTCTTGATCCGTAGACTGGAGTGCCTTAATCCTTGCTTGGATCTTCGGTTCAATTCTCAATGCGGCTATTAGACTAGACATCTGGCTTACCTCAAATTTAAACTCCGAGTCTCTTAGCTTTTCCAATAAGGTCCATTCCTTGACCATCATATGCGCCATGCTCGATTTGTAACTCAGCGCATCCGCTACTCGATTTGCCTTCCCAGGATGATACAAAATGTCGCAATCGTAATCCTTCAGAAGTTCC